AGATTTGTTTGGATTCCAGAGATTCCTAAGGATTCCAGAGATTCCTTGGGATTCCAGAGATTCTTAGAGATTCCAGAGATTCCTATGGATTCCATCGATTCCCAGGGATTCCAGAGATTCCTTGGGATTCCAGAGATTCCTAGGGATTCCAGAGATTCCTAGGGATTCCAGAGATCCCTCTGGATTCCAGAGATTCCTAGGGATTCTAAGGGTTCCTGGGGGTTCAAGAGATTCCTAGGCATTCCAGAGATTCTAGGGATTCCAGAGATTCCTAGGGATTCCACAGATTCCAAGTGATTCCACATATTCCTTTGGATTCAAGAGATTCCTAAGGATTCCAGAGATTCCTTGGGATTCCAGAGATTCTTAGAGATTCCAGAGATTCCTTGGGATACCAGAGATTCATTTGGATTCCAAAGATTCCTAGGGATTCCAGAGATTCCGATGGATTCCAGAGATTCCTAGGGAGTCCAAAGATTCCTAGGGATTCCAGATATTCCAAGGGATTCCAGAGATTCCGATGGATTCCAAAGATTCTTAGGGATTCCAGAGATTCTTAGGGCTTCCAGAGATTCCGAGGGATTGCAGAGATTCCGATGGATGCAAGAGATTCCTAGGGATTCCACAGGTTCCTATGGATTCCATAGATTCCTAGGGATTCCAAGGATTCCTAAGGATTCCAGAGATTCCTTGGTGGGGAGCGCGGTGGGGGGTATCGGTCGGTTTTGAGCGAGAAATGATGGCGTGGGGTTTGAAAAACAGAGGCTCCAAGGGGTGGGAGTGCCGGGGCGTGGTGGAGGGCGCGGTGGGGGGTATCGGTCGGTTTTGGGCGAGAAATGGTGGGGTGAGGGGTCCCAAGAACAGAGGCTCCATGGAGTGGGAGGGATTCCAGAGATTCCTAGGGATTCCAGGGATTCCTAGGGATTCCAGAGATTCCTAAGGATTCCAGAGATTCCAGGGATTCTTAGGGATTCCAGAGATTCCTAGGGATTCTAAAGATCCAAAGATTCATAAGGATTCCAGAGATTCCTGTGGATTCCAGGGATTCCTTGGGATTCCAGGGATTCCTAGGGATTCTAGAGATTCCTCGGGATTCAAGAGGTTCCTAGGGATTCCAGAGATTCCTAGGGATTCCAGAGATTCCTAGGGATTCAACAGATTCCTAGGGATTCCAGAGATTCCTTTGGCTTCCAAAGATTCCTAGGGATTCCACAGATTCCAAGGGATTCCACAGATTCCTTTGGATTCCTGAGGTTCCTAGGGATGCCAGAGATTCCTAGGGATTCCAAATATTCCTAGGGATTCCAAATATTCCTAGGGATTCCAGGGGTTCCTAGGGATTCCAGAGATTCCTAGGGATTCCTATGGATTCCAGAGATTCCTATGATTTCCAGAGATTCCTGGAGATTCCAGAGATTCCGATGGATTCCAAAGATTCCTAGGGATTCCAAAGATTCCTAGGGATTCCAGAGATTCGTGGGGATTCCAGAGATTCCTTGGGATGCAAGAGATTTCTAAGGATTCCAGAGATTCTCAGGGATTGCAGAGATTCCTAGGGATTCTAGAGATTCCCAGGGATTCCAGAGATCCCGAGGGATTCCAGAGATTCCTAGGGATTCCAGACATTCCTAGGGATTCCATAGGTTCGTAGGGATTCCAGCGATTCCTAGGGATTCCAGAGATTCCAGAGATTCCAAAGATTCCTAGGGGTCCCAGGGATTCCTTGGGATTCCAGAGATTCCTAAGGATTCCAGAGATTCCTAGGGATTCCTAGGGTCTTACAGGAGGAGAAGGTGGAGGATGAGGAGAGGGTGGGGGAGTGGCAAGAGATATGATGCCTCTTGGGAGTTGTCTTGGAGGTCTCTTGGAGCGTCTGGGGGGGCATCTCGGAAAGGAGGATGAGGAGGGCGAGCAAAAAGGCCAGAAGTCTTTTGAATGCCTTTCGGAGCCTTTTGGTATATCTCTTGGGCGCTTCTTGGAGGCATCTTGGGACGTCTGGGGGATCTCTTGGCGGCCCTGGGGGGCTCTTGGGCGTCTTGAGTGCGGGGGGGGCCTCTTGGGGCCGTTTGGGGCTCTCTTGGGGTCTTCTTGAGGGCCTCTTGGGGCCATATTGGGGCCATCTTGGAGCCATCTTGGCGCCTCTTGGAGCCTCCTGGGCGCCTCTTGCGGCCATCGTGGAGGAGATCGATCAAAGAAGGGGGGTTCCTTAATTAGCGTATCCCCTCGGGAGCCCCAAAAACCGCCTCCTCCTCCCGAAGGGATGGATCCACCTCTAATAGGATCCTATTAGGGATGGATCCACCTCTAATAGGATCCTATTAGGGATGGATCCACCTCTAATAGGATCCTATTAGGGATGGATCCACCTCTAATAGGATCCTATTAGGGATGGGTCCACCTCTAATAGGATCCTATTAGGGATGGATCCACCTCTAATAAGATCCTATTAGGGAAGGATCCGCCTCACATAGGATCCTATTAGGGGTGGATCCACCTCTAATAGGATCCTATTAGGGATGGATCCGCCTCAAATAGGATCCTAGTAGGGATGGATCCGCCTCAAATAGGATCCTATTAGGGATGGATCCACCTCTAATAGGATCCTATTAGGGATGGATCCACCTCTAATAGGATCCTAGTAGGGATGGATCCACCTCTAATAGGATCCCATTAGGGATGGATCCACCTCTAATAGGATCCTATTAGGGATGGATCCACCTCTAATAGGATCCTAGTAGGGATGGATCCACCTCTAATAGGATCCCATTAGGGATGGATCCACTTCTAATAGGATCCTATTAGGGATGGATCCACCTCTAATAGGATCCTATTAGGGATGGATCCACCTCTAATAGGATCCTATTAGGGATGGATCCACCTCTAATAGGATCCTATTAGGGATGTGTCCACCTCTAACAGATCCTATTAGGGATGGATCCGCCTCAAATAGGATCCTAGTAGGGATGGATCCGCCTCCATAGGATCCTATTAGGGGTGGATCCACCTCTAATAGGATCCTATTAGGGATGGATCCGCCTCAAATAGGATCCTAGTAGGGATGGATCCGCCTCAAATAGGATCCTATTAGGGATGGATCCACCTCTAATAGGATCCTATTAGGGATGGATCCACCTCTAATAGGATCCTATTAGGGATGGCACCAGGACTCGCTTCGCTTACGCGCGCACGCAAGTAAGCGAAGCGAGTCCGGTGTAAAGTGTTAATAGAGCTAGAAGGTTTTTTTTTTATTTGAACCGGTCCGTTGTTGTTGTTGTGTTGTTGGGGGGGGGGGGGTGTTGGGGGGCCCCGGGGGCCGGGGACGACTCCTGCCCCCCCCTGGAGGAGAGCTCCGCACGTCCCCCGAGCGCCGGGGGCCAGGGAAGATCCCTATCCTTGTTGTTGTTGTTGTTGCTGTTGTTGTTGTTGTTTTTGTTTGTTTGTTTGTTTGTTTGTTTGTTGTTTGTTGTTTGTTGTTTGTTGTTTGTTGTTGTTGTTGTTGTTGTTGTTGATATTGTGGTTATTATTATTGTAGCTGTTGCTTTTACTGTTGCTGTTGTTGATGATGGTGGTGACGATGATGATGACGATGATGTTGATGAGTCTAACATATTAGCGTCGGTTAGCGTCGATTCGCTAGAGCCAGCAAGATAGCATAGGAGGCTCCCGTGAGTTGCCACCGAAGGTGCGTGGCCAGAGTTCTGGTCGATCCCGCGCACGAGCCGATGGGAGGGGGTGCCGAGCCAGCGGAAGGGCTCGAGCGCGGGGGCCGCTGCGGGCAGCGCAGGCGGGAGCCCCCGACGCCAAGCCCATGGCGGACTTCGGCCGCCGTTTCGGCCCACAGGGGCCGCAGGGCGAAGCCGGTCGGGTGCTGCACGCCCGCGGGCGCCCGCTGGGCCGGCGCCTGCGTCGGTCGGGCCTCCATCGCGGCCGTGCGCGTGTGGGCACAGGCGGGCTTTGATCGCCGCTGTGGCCAGAGGCGGTCACGTCGCCCCGAACGTGTGCTGCCACTGCTGCCCCATCGGCTGCAGGCATCGGCGCCCCGGAGGGGAGGCTCGCATGGCGGATGAGCGGCATCTTGCCCTGCCCTCCTGCAGTTCTCTTCCTCGTCAGTGGACCCGCGTGAGTTTGCAGACAGGGAAGGGTGAGCGCGAGTTCTCTCTGAGCTGGTGCTGGCCTGGGGGTGTGTGAGCGGACTGCTCGCTGCGCCGAGGTGGCGCGGGGAGGGGTGAGTCGAGCGGCTCCGAGCAGATTCGGGCTGTCAGAGGTGAGTGCCGGGGAGATGTGTGGGCCTCACAGTCGGTTTGCCCGTCCCGCCTCTGACATGTGGCCATGTGTCGCGAGGCCTCGCCAGCAGGGCTTCGCAGCAAAAGCTCGTGGTTTCCTTGTCGTTGTTCTCCTCCTCCTTGTCCTCCTGGAGGACTCCGAGGGCCCCCGTTGTCCTACGTGGCCTTGTGATGCCCACGCATACTCAGAATGCCTAAGACCTCTGCACTCGTTTTTCCTCTCCCTCGCCCTCCTTGCCGTCCTCCTCCTTCCTCCCCTTTTTCCTATTTGTCCTCATCTTCGTCCCAGAGAGACGCCAGCGTCCTCGCCCTCATCCTCCTTTGTCCTTCCTCCCCCTCTTCGATAGCCCAGCCTCCACCTCAAAGACCTTCACGAGGTCGTCTCGGGGTCGTGTAAACAGGCCAGACAAGGTGGAACCACGAGGTTGAACCCGTAGGCCACCCAGGACCCCAAGGCCTTGTGGGCCTCAGCTGGAGACATGCTGTCGCTAATGAACGTTTGTGTGCGATGAGGGACGCATGAGCCTTTGCATTCATTGTGACGAGTCTAGTTTGGGGATCCCGCCATGTCAAGGGCGCGCCAGTCCGTCAGTCCAGTCAGTCGTCCTCATCTTCCTCTCGTTTCCTCGCCCTCGTCCTCCTCGCCGTCCCCCTCCTCCCGCCCCCTCTTCGTCCTTGCCCTCCCTCCCCGAGAGAGAGGCCCGCGGCGCGGCGGAGGCTGCCGCTCGCGTGGATTCACCGCAGCTCGCACATCGGGTTCGTCAGCGTCGCGGTGGCACCGCCGGCCGCTGCCTCTGGCGAGGGGCGGGCGGGGTCTTCGGCGTGTTTGGGGTCGGAGCCCCACCCCTTCGGGGTGGGCGCGGCGTTGGCGGATCCTGAAGGGCCGGCCAGGGCGGTGTCCGTGAGCCTTTGTTTCTTGTTGTTTTCGCTGCCAATGCCGTCGTCGTCGTCGCCGTCACCGCCGCCGCCGCCGCCGTCGACGCTGTGTTCGTCGTCGTCGTCGTCGTCGTCGTCGTCGTCGTCGTCGTCGTCGTTGTGAACACCGATCCGCCTCCGTCCTTGAAGCTGGGGACCAATTTTCGAGACGAGTTTGCGCGGCGCTAGGCGAGAGCCACATTTTGAAAACCATTTCCCCATTCCAAGATTCAGGACCGTACATGGTGAAGAAGTTTCAAGCAAAACGCCCGGTCCACCCTGCCGACACGCTTGGGTGTGCGACAGGGTGGAGTTACTTAGAAGGGAGGAGGAGGAGGAGGAGGAGGAGGAGGAGGAGGAGGAGGAGGAGGAGGAGGAGGAGGAGGAGAGGAGGAGGAGGAGGAGGAGGAGGAGGAGGAGGAGGAGGAGGAGGAGGAGGAGGAGGAGGAGGAGGAGGAGGAGGAGGAGGAGGAGAGGAGGAGGAGGAGGAGGAGGAGGAGGAGGAGGAGTGGGGGGAAGACGGGGTCGAGGGGGGCGAAGGACGGAGAAGGGGGAGGAGGAGGAGGAGGAGGAGGAGGAGGAAGAGAAGGATTCGGAGAAGCAGGAGGAGCGGGATGAGCGGGAGGAGTCAAGCCATCAGCCAGCTCGAGTGAGGCAGCGGGCCCCGCCCGCTCACGACCCCCCTCTCATAACACAGGCACGACATTGGCGGAACTGGATCTCGGGACCTGGCGCGTGCCCAGACCGGCGAGCGGAAGGCACTCGCGCGCGGCCCGCCTCCTGCGACGCTGCCGGGGAACAGCAGGGGCCGAACATCTTCGGGAGAGCAGGGCTCTCAGAGCTGCGAAGCGGAGCTTCGCCGGCGCCTCGGCGTTTCCCCCTTCCCCGCCTCCCCCCGCGCGGCCGCCCTCGTCTTCTTCCCCCTTGCACGCCGGCCAATGTCAGGAGGGCAAACACACACAAGTAATCGTCGACTCCCAGGAAAATATGGAGAATATGGGACGTGGGGGGGAGACGAAAATCCAGAAAATTTGGAAAAGATATGGAGGATCCTGGCATCTGTGTCTATTTACTTGTGTGTCCTTGGGCCCCTGGACAATTAACTAGCCTTTCGGTTGCGCCGACTAGCCACACGCTGGCGCGGACTGCCTCTGCCCCGCCGCCGACAGGACAAAATGAATGCTCTCTTCGGCGAGGGCACCATGTCTTGCCTTCTCGCCCACGGGGGGCTGGCGAAGGCAAGACACACGCGCTGCGCCGAGGAGGGAGCGCCGCTGCAGGTGAGATCTGCGCGGCGCCTGGGCGAGACCGACCTTTTGCCGTTGCGCGAGCGAGCTGGCGAACACCAGAAGATCACCGCCGCGCCTACGCGGGCGCGCAGATGTAGAGGGAAGTGAGCGCGGCGCGGAGGCGAGCGCGACATCTCGCCCTCTCACGCACAGTGTGCGTCGTGCTCCAATCCCGCCGCACACGTTGTACCGTCGACGGAACACGTCATTTTCGATAGGTCGGGTGGAAGAGCCCGCTTAAGGCTGCCGGCAATCAGCGAATCAGGGAGCTCTTGCACATATTGCTTGCGGGCGTCTTCTCACGTGATCTTCGGAGCCAGACCTGGCACCGGCTTCTGCGAGGGGAGGAGAAACGCGCGGCGCGGCGCAACGCAGTGGCTCGTGAGTCGTGGTCGCGAGCATTGCGTCGTCGCCGCCGCCGTCGCCGCACTCGCCCCCGTTGCCGCGCCCGCGGCGACTCCTCCTGCGTCAATTTGGGCTCGATCTTGACGCCGCACTGCGGTGCCGCGTGTCACCAGAAGAGCGGGGGCGGTGCGCTGCGTCTGGGCGTCGCGAGTCGGCGGAAAACCTCGCTGGCGCAGGCGGTGTGCATGGAAACGCGCAGGAACGTCAAAACGTAGGGCGCAGGAGAGGCGGTTGCGCGAGTGTTTCAGCGCGAGCGCCCTGGGTAGTGTGGCTCCTCGGCGCAGGTGCTGCACATGGCAAGGCGTAGGCGCTATCGGCGCGTCAAAATGTGGGGCGCAGGTGCATGGGCATAGTTTTTCCCACCGCAGGCACCGGTGGCGTTTATCTGCGCAGACACTGCGTATGGCAAGGCGCAGGCGCCGCGGGCACGTCTAAACATAGGGTGCAGGCACGGCCTTGGCACCGTGGTGTTAACGCAGGCACCGCGCACCGCAAGCATCGTTCCCCCCATCACTCTTTGCTTTAGGGGTTTTTATTCGTCTGTGGAGAGCTGGTGGGTGTGGTCTGCGGTTCGTGTTTGTCTGTGGAGAGCCGGTGGGTGTGGTCGCTGGTTTGTGTCGGGGTTGCTCGGGTTTCTTGTTTTTTCTTTGCAAGGGATTCCCCAGGGTTCGTTGGTTTTGTTTCTTTTTGAGACGTTGACCAGGTTCCTTGAAGAGGTCTTCCTCGGATTCCCTGGTTCCTTGGTATTGTTTCTTCTTTGTTTTTCAAAAGGCGTTCCTCATGTTCCCCTGGTTTTGTGGTATTGTTTCCTTGCTGTGTTTGAAAGTCATTCCTCGGGTTCTCTGGGTTCTTTGGTCTTGTCCTTGCTGTTCCTTGGTTTCTTTTGGTTTTCTAAGGCTTTTGAAGAGGCCCTGCTGTTTCGAAATGGCCTTCCTTGGGTTTCCTGGGTTCATTGGTCTTTACTGCCATTGAAGAGGCCTTCCTTGGGTTCTCCAGGCGGGTTTCTGGGTCTCGTTTCCAGCGAGCCAGCGAGTTAGTTAATTGATTCGTTGATTCGTTAGTTCGTTAGTTCGCTATTTCGGTTGTAAGCTAGTTAGCTAGCTAGTGCGTAATCCAGTAATTAAATCACTTAGTAAGTTAGTACGTTAGTATGCTGGTAAGGTAACATGTTAGTTAGTTAGTTAGTTAGTTAGTTAGTTGTTTAGTTAATTCGTCAGTTAGCTAGCTAGTTAGTTAGCTATTTAGTGAATTCTAGACGTTTCGCGTAACCCCATCAGCTGCGGCCACCCTGGTACTTTCGCAGTAGTCCGGGGGCTTGCGCCCTTGCAACTTATTCCAGTCTGCAGCTTTCCCTGGTTCCCGGTTACCCTGGCCGCCCGCTGCCTGCGACTCGTTGCACGCGACCCCGGCAGTATTGGTGACCCGCTACCCCCTGCCCTTTCCTTTCGACGGCCCGCCGTTGAGGTGCTGCGTGAGGCTCCGGCCCACCGCTTTAGGTTAATTCGTCTGTGCGCGCCCCGCTCTGACTGGACTCGCCGCTGGCGCGCTCGCCTGCGGCCGCTGACAAGAAAGTATCCCCACCAGCCCATCCAGAAACGATGCCCAGAGGAATTGCCTCGATCAGGGAAGTGGGCAGCACACAGAGGAAGGGTCCCCCAGTGGAGGCCTCTTGTAACGTCTTGGGTGCCTCGGAGAGCTTCTTGGGGCCTCTTGGGGGTCTCCTGGAAGCATCTTGGAGGCCTCTTGGGCGCCTGTTGGGGCCTCCTGGGCGCCTCTTGGGGCCCTCTTGAAGCGCTCTTGGGAGCCTTGGGAGCGCTCTTGGGGCCATCTTGGGGGACATCGATCAAACAAGAAGCGAGCATTAGTTAGCGTTGCCCCTCGGGAGCCCAAACAATCGCCTGTTGGGGCGCTCTTGGAGCGCTCTTAGGCGCTCTTGGGGCTGTCTTGGGGCTTTCTGGAGCCTCTCTTGGAGCCCTCTGGGGCCATCTTGGAGCCGTCTTGAGGCCTCGGATGGCCATCGGAAGCGAAAAGGCGAGAAAGCCAAACACATAGAATTTCCAAAGGTTTTGGCCTCTTCGGGGCCTCTGGGGGGAGCTCTTTGGCCACTGGGAGCCGTCTTGGAGCGGTCTTGGGCCATCTTGGAGCATCGTGGGAGCCATTATGAGACATCTTGGGATATCTTGAGCCATCTTGGAGGTCATCTTGGGCTCTCCCAGGCGCTCTTGGAATCATCTTAATCAGTACCCCCCCCCAAGAGGCCAACATGTGGCTAAAACCTTAGTAATATCAATGATTTGGCATTCTCGCCGAGGCCTCTTGGAGCATCTTGGGTGCCTCTGGGGGGTCTCTTGGGGCCTCTTGGGGGTCTCTTGGGAGCCTCTTGGGGGCATCCTGGCGGCCTCTTAGGGGCTTCCTGGCCACCTCTTGGGGCCCTCTTGGGGCACCCTTGGGAGCCTTGGGGGCCATCTTTGGGCCATCTTGGGTGAGATCGATCACAGGAGGGGGGGTGTCTAATTAGGCCCCCCCCTCAGGAGGCCAAAGTGGGGCCAAAGCCATAGTAAAACCAATGATTTTGGCTTCCTCGCCGAGGCCGTATTGGACGCTCCGACACCTCGCGGAACCCTCTGTCCAGGTCCATGGGTAGGGGGTAGGGGGAGGGGTAAACCCCTCCCCGAAGGGGAAGAAGAAAGGGTGGAAGAGGAAACTCCCGAAACCACCGACGCCCAGAGGGCTGGTGGGATAAGCATTCGCTCGTTCGTTAGTTAGTTAGTTAGTTAGTTATGAGGAGGAGGAGAAGAAGGAGGAGGAGGGGAGGGGGAGGTGGAGGAGGCGGAGGAGGGTGATGAGGAGGCGGGAGGAGGAAGAGGAGGAACAGCAATGGCGCGAAGACGTCGCTGAGGGCGACGGCGCCGTGACCGCCGCGCAAGGCGGGTTACGTGGCGCTGGCGGGGCCCTCGGGCCGCTCTAGGGGAGGGGCGGGGTGGCCGTCGTCGTCGTCGTCGTCGTCGCCGCTGCCGCCGTCGCGGCCGCCGCCGCCGCCGCCGCCGCCGCCGCCGCCGCCGTCGTCGTCGTCGTCGTCGTCGTCGTCGTCGTCGTCGTCGTCGTCGTCGTCGTCGTCGTCGTCGTCGTCGTCGTCGTCATAGTCGTCGTGGTGGTGGTGGTGGTGGTCGTCATCGTGGTCGTCATTGTGGTTGTGGGCGTTGTCGTCGAAGGAGGAAGAGGAAAGGAAACATATGGCGGAGAGGAAAGGCGGAGAGGAGAGTCAGGGAGGAGGGAAGGAGAGGGCTTCGTGAGGCGGGAGGTCTTCCAGGAGGCCGCCCCTGGTCCTCCCAGAGGTCTTTCAGGAGGCCTCCCCTGGTCTTCTTGGAGACCTTCCGGCAGGCCTCCCCTGGTCCTCCCGGAGGTCCCCCAGGGGAGGCCTCCTGGAGGTCTCCCCTTGTCCTCCGGGAGGTCTCGGGAAGTCTGGTGGAGGACTAGTGGAGACTTCCCGGAGTTCTCCCCTGGTCCTCCTCCAGACCTTCTGTGTTGTTCTGGACTCCGCGACACCTGAAAGACCTCCGACAGGGCAAGGGTACGGTCTGGGGGTTTCGTTTGGCGTGTATGATCGTCCCGCCGGGCTCGGGGGAGGAGGTACAGGCTAAACGAAACATCGATGCAGGTACACGCTAAACAAAAAAAGCGGAGATCACGTTAAACGTCGAGGGCAGGGTGCCACGTACACGCTAAACGCTCTACTGCCGAGATCTCGCCAGCGGGGCGTGCTCTTACCTTTACCCGCCTCTCCACTCCTCCAGTAAGAGGCAGGAGGAAGCAGGAGGAACGGAGGAAGGGGAGGAGGAGGACAATGAGGCGGAGGAGGAGGAACATGATGATGATGATGATGATGACGATGATGATGATGATGATGATGATGATGATGATGATGATGATGATGATGATGATGATGATGATGATGATGATGATGATGATGATGATGATGATGATGATGATGATGATGATGATGATGATGATGATGATGATGATGATGATGATGATGATGATGATGATGATGATGATGATGATGATGATGATGATGATGATGATGATGATGATGATGATGATGATGATGATGATGATGATGATGATGATGAGGAGGAGGAGGAGGAGGAGGAGGAGGAGGAGGAGGAGGAGGAAGAGGATCGGTCGACACGATGCTCCCGTATGCCTGGAGAAATGCATTTACCTAGGTGCAACTCCTGTCGGATTTGCAGGACCGGCTTCCTCTCCTCCCATATCCTCCCTCTCTCCGGCCTCTGCCCGTTGTCCCCCATCCCACCCCTTCTCCCTCCTTCCACCCTTTCTCCTTCCTTCTCTCCACCCTCCACCCTCCACCCCTCCCACCCTCCACCCTTTCCCCCTTTCCCTCCTCGCCTGCTTTCCCCCCTCTACGTACCTGGAGGGTGTCCCATGGGGCCGCCCTGGGCCTCTCTAAAGGCTTTCTTTTGTAATTTCGAGCGCTCCTGGTGCTCTTTCGGGCTGGCCTCCCTGAAGGCCCTCTTGGACAATCTTGGGCGCTTTGGGGACCATTGCGGTCCGTTTGGGGCAGCAACATGTGCCATCCTGGGCTGTGTTTGCGGCCTCTTGGATTTTCTTGGAGCTCCCATGGGCCGTCCTGGGCCTCTCTGGAAGCCCTGTTGTGCCTTGTTTGGGGTGCTCGGGGCCCTCCTGGGCCTTTCTGGGCTGCTCCTGGACCCACCCTGGGCTGTCTTACGTGCAACTCTTGTGAGGCCCTCTTGACGTCACTTCTTGGAGCCCTCAGCCGCCCTGGCCCCCGCCCCCTGCTGGAGCTGGGGCCCGTATAGCGTGTACCTGCCCCCCAGGCCCCCCCGCCCCCCCCTGGAGTCGCGCTAGGCGTTCCTGACGGCCCTCTTGGGCAATTTTGGATGTTTGGTGGCCAGCTTACGCATACTAACTCATATCTGGCTGTGCTACCGGGCTGAACCTATCATAGGTCATAGCTGGCCGTGGTATCGTGCTGAACCTACAATTGGTCCTACCTAGCGGTGCTTGTTGCTATATGGCTGAACCTTCCTGGCTGCTTTATCGGGCTTAAGCTACGTCGAACAGGTCCGACCTGGCTGTGCTATCAGGCTAAACCTACGTATGATAAGACATACCTCGCAGCGCTATCGAGCTGAACCTCAATATGTAAGCGCTACCTGGCTGCGCCATCGGGCTGAAACTACAATAGGTCCTATCTGGCTGTGCTTGCTATCGGGCTGAATTTCTGATAGGATGGAGGTCCTGAGGGGTCTCGGAGAGCACTTGGAACCGTCTTGTGGCCATCTTGCAGCCTTTTGGAGGCATGATGGATGTCGTCTTGAGCGATCTTGCGCTGTCAGGAGCAATCTTGGAGGCCATCCCGCAGCATCGGAGGCTGTTTTGGAGCCATCTTGGGCCGTCTTGGACGCTCTAACCCCTCGAGGACTTCCCCCCAAAAGGGCTGGTCGGACTTTCTGGGGCCCTTTGACGTCACCTCCTGGAGCCCTGAGCCGTCCTGCCCCCCTGCTGGAGCCAGGGCCCGTATAGCGTGTACCTGCCCCCAGCCCTTCCCGCCCCCCCTGGAGTCGCGCTGGGCCTTCCTGACGGCTCTCTTGGGCACTCTTGGATGCTTTAGGGGGCTATTTTGGTAGTTTTTTGGGCGGCTTTTTGGGCCCCCTTGGGCCGTCCTGGGCCTCTCTGGAAGCCCTGTTGGCCATTCTTTTGGGTGCTCGATGCCCTCCTCGACCGTTCTAGGCTGCTCCTGGACCCACCCTGGGCTGTCTGACAAATCTATGGGGCCCTCTTGACGTCACCTCTTGGAGCCCTCAGCCGTCCTCCCTCCCTGCTGGAGCCGGGGCCCTCGTGGGCAATCTTAGGCGCTTTGGGGGCCACTGCGGCCCGGGCAGCAATGCTGTCTGGGCAGCCTTCTGGGCCTTCTTGGAGCTCCCCTGGGCCGTCCTGGGCGGGAGCATGGGCCCGTACAGCGTGTACCTGCCCCCCGCCCTCCCCGCCCCCCCTGGAGTCGCGCTGGGCGTTCCTGACGGCCCTCTTGGGCAATCTTGGGAGCCATTTTGGCAGTTTTGGGCAGCAATTGGGGCCATACTGGACTCCCTTGGAGCTCCCTTGGGCCGTCCTGGGCCTCTCTGGAAGCCCTGTTGGGCCATTCTTTGGGGTGCTCGAGGCCCTCCTGGGCCGTTCTGTGCTGCTCATGGACCCACCCTGGGCTGTCTTACAAATCTACGGGGCCCTCTTGACGTCACCTCTTGGAGCCCTCAGCCGTCCTCCCCTCTGCTGGAGCCGGGGCCCTCGTGGGCAATCTTCGGCGCTTTGGGGGCCATTTCGGTTCGTTTTGGGCAGCAATCGGGGCCATCCAGGGCTGTCTGGGCAGCCTTCTGGGCCTTCTTGGAGCTCCCCTGGGCCGTCCTGGGCGGGAGCATGGGCCCGTATAGCGTGTACTTGCCCCCCGCCCTTCCCGCCCCCACCTGGAGTCGCGCTGGGCCTTCCTGAAGGCTCTCTTGGGCAATCTTGGAGGCTTTGGATGGCATTTTGGAAGTTTTGGGCAGCAATCGGGGCCATCCAGGGCTGTCTGGGCGGCTTTTTGAGTTCTTTTGGAGCTCCTTGGGCCGTCCTGGGCCTCTTTGGAAGCCCTGTTGAGCCTTTTTTGGGGTGCTCGAGGCCCTCCTGGGCCGTCCTGGCCTGCTCCTGGACCCACCCTGGGCTGTCTTACACATCTACGGAGCCCTCTTGACGTCACCTCTTGGAGCCCTCAGCCGTCCTCCCCCACTGCTGGAGCAGCGGCCCTCGTGGGCAATCTTCGGCGCTTTGGGTGGCCATTTCAGCCCGTTTTGGGCAGCAATGCTGTCTGGGCAGCCTTCTGGGCCTTCTTGGAGCTCCCCTGGGCCGTCCTGGGCGGGAGCATGGGCCCGTATAGCGTGTACTTGCCCCCCGCCCTTCCCGCCCCCCCTGGAGTCGCGCTTGGCAATGTTGGACGCTTTGGGAGCCATTTTGGCAGTTTTGGGCAGCAATCGGGGCCATCCTGGATTGTCTGGGCCGTCCTGGGCCTCTCTGGAGACCCTGTTGGGCTTTTTTTGGGGTGCTCGAGGCTGTCCTGGGCTGCTCCTGGACCCACCCTGGGCTGTCTTACAAGAGCCCTCAGCCGTCCCCCCCCCCTGCTGGAGCCGGGGCCCTCGTGGGCAATCTTCGGCGCTTTGGGGGCCATTTCAGCCCGTTTTGGGCAGCAATCGGGGCCATCCAGGGCTGTCTGGGCAGCCTTCTGGGCCGTCTTGGAGCTCCCCTGGGCCGTCCTGGGCGGGAGCCAGAGCCAGTATAGCGTGTACCTGCCCCCCGCCCGTCCCGCCCCCCCTGGAGTCGCGCTGGGCCTTCCTGACGGCCCTCTTGGGCAATCTTGGACGCTTTGGACGCCATTTTGGTTCGTTTTGGGCAGCAATCGGGGCCATCCTGGATTGTCTGGGCGGCTTTTCGGGCCCTCTTGGAGCTCCCTTGGGCCGTCCTGGGCCTCTCTGGAAGCCCTGTTGGGCCATTCTTTGGGGTGCTCGAGGCCCTCCTTGGCAGTCCTGGCCTGCTCCTGGACCCACCCTGGGCTGTCTCACACATCTACGGGGCCCTCTTGACGTCACCTCTTGGAGCCCTCAGCCGTCCTCCCATCCGGCTGGGGCATTTCGGGTCGTTTGGGCAAGGAATCGGGGCCATCCAGGGCTGTCTTTGCAGACTTCCGGGCCTTCTTGGAGCTCTCCTGGGCCGTGGGCGGGAGCCGGGGCCCGTATAGCGTGTACCTACCAGGCGAATTTCAGATCACGCCTTACGAAAAACCACCAACAGGGATCACGCTAAACGAAACGGATATTGGATCACGCTTTAGAGAATTTGGCCCAGCGTGTACTCCCACTCCTTGACCATACAGGCT